ACTTTGAGTTTATTTTGTGTTTACCTCACGTGATTTATATTGAGAATAACTCTTTGACTTTATTGTGAATCCTTACCCGTGATTCCTTGAGTAATTGTCTTAGTTTTATTTACCCCTTTTTAGATTTTATTTGAAGCCACGAAACCATCGTGATAATGTCTTCGATTATTTTTCTTAGAATTATTATCAGAGATGGGAATTCTTCTTGGTTTAGAATTTTTACCACGATGTTTATTGTTCTTGTATAAGGTAGACTGTTTGCTGGCAGGAGTACTAGTCGAGCTTTCCTTCCCAGACTTCTGGTCACAGTTGGGGTAAATCCTAGACATACTTCCAATATTTTGTTTTTCTCCGTTGGGAGAGTTACATCCGCCGATTCCTTTAAAATATTAAAAAAGTTAAGTGACTCTGCTTAAATAATTAAGTAGAACATTAATAGACTTACCAACTGGTCTTGATTCAGTAACAGTACTAACTGATCCAGAGTTAACGCCATTTTTACGAGCTTCGCTTTTCTTATATTCAAAGTATGCTACGAGAATATCAGATAAGTTTCAATTTAATAGATATTGTAACTTTTAAAAAAAATTATAAATATATACCTAAATCATCATCATCCTCTTCATACAGTTCTCCTGCTTCTATCCACTCCTTCAACACTTTTCTATTAATAAACTTTTTGACAATATCCTCAAAATACTTTTTAAATTCTGGATCTTGCAATATTTCTAAAGCTCTTTGATGTCGTAAAGACAACGATTCATCAGACATATTGGTAGTGTTTCACGTTAAAAGTATAAAGACAATATTATTTATATGACATTTTTTGTAATTTATATATGTCATCTGTTTACATCACAAATCATGTCCAGATACTTTTTTTGGAAATGGTCGACAAAAGATCGGCATATACGTCAGATGAAATTTCTAATCACTTGATCTATTAAAATCTCATATATTGTATTTTTGCGTTTATTTATGTCAAATAAAGATTTTTGACTTGTACGCATTTTTTTGCAAAAATGAGCCACATACCTTAAGCTATATTATTGGTATTGATATAACTTATTTAATCCTGTGAAAAATATTTTTAGTATCTGTGTTTGCTGTGTAGAAGCATATTAAAAAATATGTAATCAAACTTAAATATTACTTCCAGAAAGATTCAAATGTATTTTCAGTTTGAATATCCTCTATCTTTTCCAGACTATTTATATTCTCTGTATATTACTTATTCCTAATTTCATTTTTAATTTCTGTATGAATTATTTTCTTTATCAGTGAAGCCGTGATCCTTAACTGCAGCTAGATTGAAAATGATTTACAAAGTTAACGAAGTTGACAAAGTTGACCAATTTGACAAAGTGGTCATAGTTAATATATTAGTTTTTTTTGTATGAATTATTTAGTAGAATTATTTTATTTATTTATTATTATTATATTTATCATTTATATTTATTTATTATATTTTATTATTATTATTTTATTTTATATAAATATCTTGTATATTCCCTTGAGTTGAAAAGTAACTCGAGATAAGTTTTAGGATAAACCAAGAGTTCAATATAGGAATCTTATCAATTCATTTGCTATTACAATTTTCGTATTTTCATATAGGCTTGATTGTGATAAATTCTTGTATTTAATTCGACGTATTGAATTAAAAGTAAATCGTTTTTGATTACAGTTACCAAGCCAATATTAGTTAACTTTTTCTTTAACCCCTTTATGCTTACTGTATCGAATTACAAACAACCCTTTATCAGTAGCAACGTAAAAAATCCAATAGCTGTCCAGTCTTAATAAATGATTGAATAGTTTTGATTCCTGCATATACATGAAACAAAAAATTCTACACTAACGTATACCTTTTCATATTTGAATATTTCCTATACTTTTATAATATTTTTCTTGAATGAGCGTATAAACAAATGATATATTTATTCATGTATACAAATAATTCCAGTTGATATAAACAATAATGATTACAAACTATGGAAACTTGAACGTAACTGATTTATTCTGTTTTTTATCCATTTTAGATTCCGGTGTTATTACAATCAAAACTTATAACCAAGATAGCCCAAGCCGACTTAATTCTTTTGGCGGAGCAGAATATTTTTTAACGAATCATGCAAATAGATTTAATTATTTTACTTTGATATAATTACTCATTTTTTATTGAATACTATAATTAAAAATACAGAAGACAAATCATTCTTTTTACAATTTACTATTTTAAATGCAAATTATCAGAATTCCTTTATACAACGCAGATATTTGAACCAAACTGGTTAAAACTATAGTTGCTATAAAACCTGCTCTGTCGACTATTTATTAGAGCCGTTTTAGCTAAACTAACCTTATTGGAAAGTAGCTAAAACAATACCAACAGCTGCATTTATATAAAAATAAATAAACAGCAAAATAATTTATAGTACAATAAATCACCTTTTTAGGAAATCTAGTAAGGAACCTACAAGTAAATATACATTATACAATTTATTTTAATTAAATACAAAATTTCATACCACGTGTTCTAATTATAAACAAATTAATGTTAATTTAAATAATTTTGAATTCTTCAATAACGACCAAGATTTTCTTTTTTTTATCCATTTCTGAATTTAAAGTATTAGTCAAAGAAAGTGGAATACAAGGTAGACGATTCGCTCAATATTTATAGATGTACCCTATGCTAAATTGAAATGTTTTTGCTAGAGTTATGTTAACTCACAAAACTATTTTTAGCTTATAAATCTTTTTGGTGAAAACCCTAATAAATCACGATCTTTTAAAATAATTTGATATAATTTTGTAAATTGATCGATGTCCGCCTTGACTTTGAATTTCTTTTCTAAAATATATTGATCTTTCCATAGACTAGATTATCCTCAAGAAATGATATTATTTAATCAATATATTCACGTTTGCAATTACATCGTAATAAACTTGATGAGGTTGTATATGAATCATTAGATCAGAAAGTAATGATGAAATATTTAATAAGCCTGTAACGGAAGCTGTAATTAGTTACAAATAACGACAGCATAAAATTATCTTCTTACACTTTTTATTTGATATATTGTATTCGCAAGCTTGTTTTGTAATTATTCGTAGAATTTTCGTGGTTCATTAAGGGTTCTCTCAATAAAAAAACCTTCCTTGATTGGTTAACAATTCGGTCTATTACTATCTTTAATTTGATGACCGATTTGAGCCGACACATGGAACCGGTCCGGATCGATTTATAAAAAATGGTTTGTAACACGGGAAACCCATGAATCGCTCTATTTTAACTGTACCAATCTCTAGGTGCGTTTCGAAGTAAAAGAATATCAGTGTAATTTTTTTATTCCTTATAATTTTTCTATTATTTGTGATTGAGAGAACTTATTTGATTGTGCATATTTAGCTTCACATGTCACCCGCTAGTTATAATGTATGTCAGTTAGAGTTATATTAAAAACGCATTTGCTAATTATTGCAAAAAAATAAATTTTTGAATTAAAAATTTATAAATTATTACCTTTATTCAAATAGATTTTGTATTGGAAACAAATATTTGTGATTCATAATTTTAAATGCATATTTAATTTTTACAACCAATTTTCTTTATAACATCTATAATATGTTAAACCGACTTGAAAGTTTCTTCTTTTATGATTCTTGTGATGTCTGATTAGTTTTTTTTACTATTATTATAATATCCTGAACCGAAGATAACGCAAAGTAGCATATTATTATTATTATATGTATCATTCATTGTTGTATGATCTATACTGATAATAATTAAAAGAAAAACCAAATTTTAAAGTCAATTTTTATTAATAAAAATATGAAAGTATTTTGCCGATAAATTAATCAAAACATAATTATAAGTTATAAGAAATATTTTCAATAGTAATTACATTTTATTTCTTTTAATCTGTTCATTTCTATTAACAACCCATATCCGTCCATATATTAATAAGAGCAGTGATGGTAAATGAGCTGGTCATTTGTCATTTAATGTTGTTGAAATGACCCAAATGACAAATGACCAGTCGTTTGAGTCATTTGAGGTCATTTGGATCACTTGCCATCACTGTATAAGAGTGAGGTATCCGCTCAAGAGTTAAGTTTTTCAATTATTGTATAATAATCAAAAAAAGCAACCTCAAAAATAAAAATCAAAAGATGAATTTTTTAAAAAAAAACTCAATAAAAATACAAATCACCAGGACTAAGACTACCTACTATCTTATGCCAGGCCACCGAGGGTATCCAATGATAAATTTATTTCCTAAAGAATTTTCACGAAGATACGCAAAAAAAAATTGGTCAGACTAATCAAGAAAGACAAAGTGATGCATTTAAAAAACTCGATAAAAATAAATAAAATTTAATATAAAAATTTTCGTGTGAAGATGAGTTCTTATAATAAAATAAATGACGGTGTAATGTACGAATGTTAACGTGTTTAGTATTTCGGATTTCTTTTTAAATAAATTAACTCATCACGATTACTGAAAAAACGCGAAGTTGTAACAACTATCAAAAAAAAAAAAAAAAATCAAATTACAGCAACTCATTAGAGCGAACAACATTATTTCAATTGAATATGAACAGAAAAACTCCCTCCCAAGTTGTGTTCGTCTTTCTGCTGCTGCTAGTAACCCATTCTTCGGAGTGATTAGGCACTTCAGATGTCATATGGGTGTCCCCGAAATGGGGTGACAACCCTTACCAATATCATTCTTAGGAGTTTTTCTCCTCGGTTCCGGTCCTAGTTTATATTTTCGCTTATGACTTTTAATAATTAATAAACATTAGCCTATGTCAAATTTAGTTTGGTTTAATTTAGTTTAGAACAAATAAAAAAAATAGTTTGGTAATTGTTTTTTTATTTATATATTTCTCATTGAATATTCTTACAGCTTTTGCCAAGAAAAAACCTAATTTGATAGAGATTTATAATTTGGATGCTAAGTTTTCTTTTAATGATTATAACAAAAATTAATGAAGATTTCGAGATTGAAGTACAAAGCGGAAGTTCGCAAGGCTTAATAAAACTTAGTAGTTAATCAAAAGGAATATTGCTTTCTTTTAAAAAAAATAAATTCAGTTAAATTTTCTTTAGCAATACATTCTAGCAAGGCCGAATTTGTTGACGAATAAAGGTAAGATATTAATTAATTTATTTTATTTAATTTATTACAAATCGGAATTTTAGCCTTTATTAGCACTTAACATTAGGGATGGGGACGGTTCTATCGGTTCCATTTCGGTTCCTCTTCGGTTCTACTTCGACTCTTCTTAAGTAAATTAAACTTTGAGCGTTAAGTTAAATTTATACTAATAGAGCATCATTTGATGATCAATTTAAAAAAATTTTTTGACTGGTTATCAAACAAATTCGTCCTATTATTACCTTTAATTTGATGACAATCCGATTTTGAGCCGACTCTTGGAACCGGTCCGGAGTCGGTTCCGGTTCGATTTTTAAAATTGGTTAAAAATGGTTTGTAACTCAGGGAAACCCAGAATATGCTGAATTTATAATCGGTTCCAGAACCGACTCGGAGTCGCTCTTTTCGAACCGTCCCCATCCTACTTAACATTAATGGGTAGGTACGGTATGATGTTGCAGATCAGTATTATTTCGCAAAAATTCGAGTCGTACTGTTACCGTACTAGAGATTTTATTAGTACGGTATGAATTTTTCGTAGTAGTCGCGTGACTAGTCGTTGACACAAAAAGTCTGTAAATTTTAAAAATTAAAATTTTTAAAAATTGATTATATTCCTTTTTATTTCAATAAAAAAAAAAATAATACTAATATAATCATTTTTTATTGAAGACGAATGCTTCATATTAAAATAAATTATTTGATTTTGTAATTAAATTATTTTTTAATTTTAATGTAGCAATGCTTATCTTTTTAATTTTAATTTTATTAAAATTTATTTTGACAAACATGCCGTTGAATTAAAAAAAAATGATGCAGATCGTACCGCAGTACAAATCAGAACGAATTCTCTAAAATTCGTACCGTACCGTACTGGTCCTATAATAAAAGCTCTATACTATCGGTACGGTACGATACGAAATTACAGAATTAGTCCGTACCTCGTACTGGCCATAATATTATATACACAGTATATAGAACCAGTACGAGTATATGGAAAACCGGTACGGTACGATTCAAATTGCAGTGGTCGTCCCGTACGGGTACCGATTTTCCATATAATCGATACGTCTCGTCTAGCAAATCATATCTCCAATTGAGCATTCAGATCTGCACAGATTCTGCCATCGCAAACTATTGTATGGTGACAAAAAGTAGTACCTAGAATTTAATGCATTTTTTCAGTTACATTGCGTATTAATCAGGTATATTGTATATCTAACCTGCATTATACATGTATACAAATTCATCGTTTTAATAACTTTTATCCATATAAAATTTATATTTCCAAATTTAAGATTGACAATTAAGTAAATTGAAATTTAAGATCTAAACATCAATAAACTTTTCCTACAATTTTGCGGTATCAAAAGTATATAAAAAAAAATAAAAATAAAATAACCTTCAGATCGGCACTCTGTTGTGTGTGTAATTAGTGTACAGTTCTTCAAAAATAAATAAAATGTTGATCAATAAACAAATGAACAACTTTGTCCATTACACTTTTTTTTTATAAAAATTAAAAAAAATATTTTTTTTTTTTTTTTTTAGAAAAATGTCAAATGACATCGACATTCATGAATATCTTAATTGGTTAGAAAAATCAATTGTCGACGAATATTTCAATTATTATGAGTATTCAGACTTCAACAATATACAACCAATAGGAAGTGGTAATTTTGGAAGAGTTTCTCGTGCTAAATGGAAAGATAGTGACGCCATTTTTGCGTTGAAGTCGTTTGTCAATTTAAAGTTAACCCTTAAAGAGATTGTCAATGAGGTATTAAATTTAATGATTATAAAATTTCAGATTAATAACTCGATTAAATTTTGTATATTTTTTACAGATTAAATTACAAAAAAAACTTGATTATCATCCAAATATATTACGATTTTATGGAATTACAAAAATAGGATGTGGTAAGAATTAAAAATAATATTAAAATGTAATAAATTTATTATGAATATTAATTTTTAAACAATTTTGTTAGATGTAATTCATCAAACGAATAAATACTTATTAGTTTTAGAATATGCTGATGGTGATACATTAAACAATTATTTAACTCAGTATTTTGAGAAACTTGATTGGAATGACAAATATCAGATAGCTTTCCAATTAGCAAGTGCTGTAGAATGTATGCATAATAATGATATTATACATCGTGATCTGGTAATGTGTGTTTTATATAATCATTTATATTTAATAGAGTCGTTGTATTAAATTTCTTTTAATTGCAGCATGCAAATAATATACTTATCCATCAGAAAAGTATCAGGATAGCAGATTTTGGTGAATCAAGAAAAATCGCTGAAGCTTCAAATAACGCAAGAAATTTTGGCGTAATACCGTATATGGACCCAAAATGCTTTGATAATCAAAATATGAACTATGTAATGAATAAAAAATCTGACGTATATAGTATTGGAGTCTTGATGTGGCAAATTTCAAGTGGATGTATGCCATTTAATGGTGTTGATTATGATGTGAGTTTATCCTTAAGTATCGCAAGTGGAAAAAGAGAGAAAATGATCGAAGATACTCCAATTGAATACTATGCCCTATATGAAAGTAAGTGATATTATGATTATAGTAAAATTTTGTTTTTGGTTATTTATTTATATATTTATTTTTACATCATTAGAATGTTGGAAAGATGATCCAGAAAAACGCCCAAGTATAAAAGAGGTAGTCTCAACACTTAAAAAAATAATTTCTTCTGATGTCGATCACGAGGAACAAAGTAAGTCAACAACGAATAAATCCAGCCTTAAATCTGATATATCAAGTGAAATAAAGATAGACAATGATGATTTGATATTAGATGAATTATTCGATCAATTTATAAATATAAAATATGAAAACAATTCAAGTTTATCAGAACGAACATCTTTAGACATAACCGAAGTTAGAGATAATCCATCTTTTCAGGTTGAAAATTCATCATTGGATTCAGTAGAATCAATATATAATAATGCAATTAATAATATTGTTGATAAGTTAATCGATTATATAATTAAAAAACATAATGAAGGCATCTTCTCATTTGATCAAATTGAAAATCTTATTAAAAAGCCATTATTGAAATTAAATCAATCCATAAATATTCTTATAACTTGGCTTATCAAAAATCAAAATGAACTGCAATATATGTGGTTTCTTGGATTCTTTTATTATCATAATATTGATATAGATGAAGATAGTAGAAAAGCATTTGCATTATTTTTAAAAGCATCAAATGATAACTACTCAATTGCGCAATTTTATCTTGCTAAATGCTATTATGAAGGATATGGAACTGAAAAAAATCATGATAAAGCTTTTGAGTATTATCAAAAATCAGTAAAAGATGGAAGTATTATTGGACAATTTAATCTAGGACATTGTTTTGAATTTGGTATCGGAATACAACCAAATAAAGTAAAATCAATATTTTGGTATAAAGAAGCAGTTAATAATGGGAATATGGTCGCAAAACTCTACTTGGCAGATTGTTACAGGTTGGGACATGTAGTTGAAAAGGATGAAATTAAAGCTTTTGAATATTATAATATATTAGCAAATATAGAAATATCTGACGCACAATATCAACTTGGAAATTGTTTTTATTATGGAATAGGTACAGTAATAGTAGATAAAGTAAAAGCTTATAATTTATATAAAAAAGCAGCTAATAACGGAAATATTATTGCAAAGTATACTTTTGAGAAAAATTATAATAAAAAAAGTACTTTTAAAAAGAAAAGAAATGAAAGACTTTATAAAGTAGTTTATTTTGAAGGATTGAGACAAATCGGAATTAATAATTATTATGGTATTGGAATAAAACAAAATTATGAAAAAGCAACTTATTATTTTCTAAAAGCAGCAGAAAATGGTGATAAAATTGCTCAATATAATTTAGGAAATTGTTATAAAGATGGCAAAGGAATAGTAAAAAATGAAAGAAAAGCTTTTGAATTATTTAAAAAATCAGCTGAACAAGAATACTTAAATGCACAATTTGAACTCGGATATTGTTATGAATTTGGAATTGGAATTGAAATTAATAAAGTAAAAGCATTTGAATTTTACAGTATAGCAGCTGAAAAAGAGCATATTATTGCTCAATATAATTTAGCTAGATGTTATCAAAACGGAGAAGGTATTGAAAAAGATGAAATTAAAGCTTTTAAATTATATAAATTAGCAGCCAAAAAAGAATATATTAATGCACAATATCAACTTGGATATTGTTATGAATTTGGAATTGGAACTGAAATTAATAAAGAAAAAGCATTTGAATATTATAAAATAGTATCTAAAAAAGAATATATTAATGCACAATTTCAACTTGGATATTGTTATGAACTTGGTATTGGAACTGAAATTAATAATGAAAAAGCATTTGATTTTTATAAAATTGCAGCTAAAAAAGAACATCATATTGCTCAATATAAATTAGCTATATGTTATCTAAAAGGAAAAAATATTGAAAAAGATGAAGTTAAAGCTTTTGAATTATTTAAAAAATCAGCTGAGAAAAAATATTTAGATGCACAATATCAACTTGGATATTGTTATGAATTTGGAATTGGAACTCAAATTAATAAAGTAAAAGCATTTGAATTTTACAAAATAGCAGCTAAAAAAGAACATGTTATTGCTCAATATAGTTTAGCTAGATGTTATCAAAGTGGAGAAGGTGTTAAAATGATGAAGTTAAAGCCTTTGAATTATATAATTTAGCAGCCAAAAAAGAATATATTAATGCGCAATATCAACTTGGATATTGTTATGAATTTGGAATTGGAACTGAAACTAATAAAGTAAAAGCATTTGAATTTTACAAAATAGCAGCTGAAAAAGAACATATTAATGCTCAATATAATTTAGCTAGATGTTACCAAAATGGAGAAGGCATTAAAAAAGATATAATTAAAGCATTTGAATTTTATGAATTAGCAGCTGAAAAGGTGACATTTTTTTATACAAAATAATTTAGCTATATGTTATCAAAATAGAGAAGATATTAAAATAGATAAAGTTTAAGCATTTGTATTTTACAATTAGTAGCTAAAAAGAATATATAATTGCTTAATATAATTTAGCCATATGTTATCAAAATGAAAAAAGGATGAATTTAAAACCTTTAAATATTATAAACAAGCAGCTGAAATGTTTAACAACAACTTTAAATTTTGCTAATATTGTGAAATTAGAACTGAAATTATAAAGAAAAAGCATTTGATAATTGCACATTAGTAGCTAAATTAAATTATAAATTAGTTTAAATTAATATTTATTTATTATAAATAAATAGAGAAGAAGTAAAAAACTTTTAAAAAGACTTTTAATTGATTTTAAAAATTGTAAAAAATGAATGTAATATTGCAATTTGTAATTTAAGTTTATAAAAATAAAAATAATGCATTTTTATTTAATCTTACCAAAATTTAGCATATATAAAATCAAATTTTAACTGGAATATTGCTATATAAATGAATAGTAATTAGTATTAATAAAGAAAAGATTTTGAATATAAAAGTAATATTTTGAATAGATTTTATTAGTTTCAAAAAATATATGAAAAGTAATAATAAAGTAATATTATATAGATTATGATTACAAATAAAAAGATAAATTTATGCATTTAAATTTTACAAATAATAAACTGGCAAAGAATATATTAATATATTATATAAATTGAATATTGCTATATAATCAAAATTAATAAAAAAAATATTTAAGATTTATAAATTATAACTAAAAGAATATAATTTAAAGAAATTATTCTTATATTTTATTAAATATAAATTTTTAAATTTATATTAATTTGAATATTATACTTGATAATATTACATTTTTCATTAGTTTATTATATACATTTATAAACAAAAAAAAATTATTAATTTTGTGAAATTAAGATTATGTAAAATTAATCAAAGTTTATAACTAAATTTAAACTACTTAATATTATTTCTGTAATCTTTAATGTTATTTTTTTTATTTCTGTATTTTTTTATATAATCTTTTCTTTCTAAATTCTTTAGTTAATTCTTAGTAGGGCAACTATGGGGGTTCTGGGACAAAATCAAAAAGGTATCCAGAAAAGCTCCCAATCATAGGCCAGAAGCCC